CCATGGACTCGATGATTCTTCGATAACTCCATCTTCTAGCATCTTATCTACCATTGTCTCCATTTCTTGTTGTTTGGAAAGGGGTACCCTTCTAGAACGTTGTCGAATCGGCTGAGCATGACCAGTATTAATCCGGTGCATCACAAGATCCGTTCTTCCACTGTTGTTCTTTTCAAAAATACTGCCATGCTTTAACAGGAACTCCTTAGCCTTCTGTTTCTCATCAAATGTTAGGTGATCCCATGGCTGCTCTAGATGTTTTAATATTTCTTTGGATGCCATTTGTGTAACAGCTGATGACACTTATCACTGATATATGATCACTGTGTAACAGCTGATGACAACCCTAATGGAAAAAATCCTGGGGGCTCCGTTCTCCCCAGTCAATACTCGCCCCTTAGTATTGACTGATTTTAGTTTTCCTGGTGCCTACGTTCTCTGGATGGTGAACGGGATCGCATTTGAACGCGGCAATCCCGTTTGATGTGGCCATTCCTGCCACATCTAAAGCACCTTATGTCCTGGGATCTTCTATGGTTCTCTGTCTGGATGTTGTTGCTACTTTTGTTCACTAGTAACTCACATAGTTTACTAAACATCTCCTCCAAACGTATGTGAGAACTGCCGGGCTGTTCCTCAACTGTTACCGATCTTATCTTTCGGTCTAGGGATGGCGCTAAAAGCAGCTTCGATTTGCGCGCTCCTGACCAGTGCTTCGCTGCTTGTAGAAAATCGCATTTGCAGCGCTCTCTGCAATTCGATGTCCTTCAGCCTCGCTGATAAAGCACTGAGCAGCGAGTTCCTCCCCTAAACCCTTCCGGTGTTTCTGGAAATGTTAGGTGTACCAGCCGACGTAAGTCTGTTTCAAATTCCCGCACTCTTCCGGACCTCTGCAGGCGTGTCTTGATCTGGCCTGGTAAAGTTGGCGTCGATGTTGGTCGCCATATCTTCGGTCCAGTGCAGCGACCAAGTTTGGTATTCTGCTGTTGGGATGCAGGAATAGTTTGCAATAGTTCCAGGGGCAGGCCACGCAGCGCGCGAAGACAAGTGCTGCTTTCTCCTGGTCGGACCATGCGTTGGCAGCGCGGCGGCTGCTTCAACTGGCGGGTGGTACATCGTCCAGGTGGTCTGTCCATCGCAGGTCGGGGGCCTGAGGTGTCTGCAGTTCCATGAACGCCAGGTGTCCTTACTTGTACCTTGGTCTCTGTAGGTCCATCTCTAATTTTTTCTATCTTCTGCTGAAGGCGCCCTCCAGATCTTCTACAGCTTGAAGTGGTTCTGTTGTTCCTGGTAACGTACTCTCCAACATTGATTGTTGCTTTATTTCCATTTTTTCAAAACTTTTCTTGATACGGTCCTGCTCTTCAAGTTTTTCTTCTTGTCGACGCACTTCAAAACCTTTTAAATTTTTCTCGAGCCGGTCCTGTTCCTCTTGTCTTTCTTTCTGATGACGCGCCTCTAAGCCTTCCAGAATTTTCCCAAGCCGGTCCTGTTCTTGTTTTTCTTGTTGTCGTTGTAATTTTTCCTCTTCCTTATCTTTACGTAGTCTTTCTTGTTCTTCTTGTTTTTCTTGGGTAAAATACTTAACGATTTTATTTGTCTCACTCTGTACACACAACTTATACTATTTACAACACAATTTATGCAACTACTATTACTTTAACGGTATTTCGCGGTATTATCAAACTTCAGATTTCAGACTATCTTCAGACTGCTCCAACTATCAAAGCGCGGGCCTTATACACCCCCTGGCGATGGTTTCTGGAATTTTCTAAAGAATTATGTAATTTTCTTTTACTTTCTGTCGAATTCGCCAGGTTCCTCAATGCACCGTTGCGGTTATGCAACCAGTAATACACCTTGACCTTAACAATATCTTCTAAGAATTATAAGTTTAATTTTTAAATTATTTTCATATTCATTAAGTCCAAAATGCTGCTACTACAGTTCTTTAAAAATGCATTAAAAATTTATTTATTTTTGACCTAATCTGTGGCTATTTCCCCCGATGGAAAATCCAAATGTCATCTGCTTTCATAATATAGAAATACACCAAGAAATCCACGACTACGATTTTAGTTTATTTGAGCAAAGTTAGTTAATTTTAACTAATAATAACAATTGTAACTAATTATTAAACTACTTGTTAAAAATGAGTAATAAATATGTTTGTTTTGTCACGGCAACTATGATGTTATAGCGTAATTGTATTAAAAATTAGGGCAAAATACAAAAAATTGGAATAAATCGCAAACTATTAAAAATACGTATATGACATACTTAATAAAAGTTGAAGAGCTTTGCAAAATCTATTAGAAAAAATGAAAATATATAGGGTGTACCATTTAAAAAAATTGAGATTTTTTAATTTTAAGTAGTTGAAATTCATTAATATATTTTGAACACCCTGTAGCATTTAACTAAAATATCTTAACATATATCTTCTTTTTAATCTCTATAGAACTCTCATACCAAATTTTGGTATTCCAACTTCAGAAACAATGGTACCACTGACAATTTTTTACCACACTGCAATTTAACATTTGTATAAACAAATTTAAATATTACGAAAACTATTAATTTCAGGTATATAACATTATATATAAAAAAGTTATAGAATTTTACGCAGAATCTAGAAATAAAATAAAAAATAGGGTGTTGCTTTAAAAAAAAACATATGTTATAGCCGCCACACTTTTTTAAAGCACCTTGTATACTCTATAATAATTTTAAAATGTGTATATTAAACATCCCTATAACTTTTATATTAAACATTTTTTTGTAAACCTTGAAATAAATGAGATAATGGACTTTACTCTATCGTTGACTCACCCTGTACACTCAAATCTCGCGACAAGCTTTTATATAATATAAAATTGTGTAATGACGTTATAAGTTCATAATATAAGTTTAAAAGAAAACTTTTCTTTTTTCTTTTTAAATAAAAGCTTGTTTTTAAAAAGTTTTTTTTTCTTAAATTTATTTTTTACATTTTAGTTATGCTGGTTTCTCAGTGCCACACACTTAAACTCAATTCTTTTTCTTAAATAACTTCCTATGGGCATCCTAATAATATGTATATCGATTTTCATTAAAAAGGAGAACTTAAAAAAACGACAGCTGTCAAATTTGACAGTTCAAATGTGAGACAAATAAAATGAAAACCGACTATGGGGTAGGGAGCATCCAATATATCGATTTTTATCAAAATCGGACAACTTTGAGATTTTTTTTGACAGCTGTTAAATTTGACAGCTCATTTTTTTTTCTTTCATTTTAGTCCATGGCCATCCTATATATAGATTTTTATCAAAATCGGACAAGTTTGAAATTTTTTTGACAGCTGTCAAATTTGACAGCTCAATTTTTTTTTTTCTTTCATTTTAGCCCAGGGCCATCCTACATATCAATTTTTATCAAAATCGGACAACTTTGAAATTTTTTTGACAGCTGTCAAATTTGACAGATCAATTTTTTTTCTTTCATTTTAGCCCATGGCCATCCTATATATCGATTTTTATCAAAATCGGACAACTTTGAAATTTTTTTGACAGCTGTCAAGAAAGACATCATTGACAGCTGTCAAGGAAATGTATTGTCATCGGGACTGAACCTACAGTACGTCTGTTCGTTCTGTAGCTACGGGGTATCCGTGAGAGGGGAAACGATATTCTCTCGATGTTTTTCGTAAAAAAATAGACGACAGTACTGTACAGTACGTCTGCTGGATTTGTGTCTATGAAAGGAATGCGGACAAAAAATATTTAAATAAACAGTAATTTATTTTATACGTCGACTTAACGAGTACGTCACCGCAAATCGCTCCGCCCACTCATTTTATTGGCTACATGCAAATTTGTTGAATTTTTATTGATGGAACGCGTCGTCTATTTTTTTACGAAAAACATCGAGAGAATATCGTTTCCTCTCTCATGGATAACCCCGTAGCTACAGAACGAACAGACGTACTGTACATGCCAAATTTCAATTTCCTACAATAAAAGGAAGTGCTTCTAATTTAGCTTACAAGATTTGCCCCGAACAAACATACATACAAAGCAAGCTTGTAAAATAAGCTAGGGACTGCTTCCCATTGGTAAAGATACCTCTGACCCTAACAACATTAGACACCCGAGCTGGTTTAAACTCTCTGTTCCCCTTCTGGTTCTCAAAACCTACAATATTATCACGACCACTATTATAAAATAAATTGCACTTGATATTCATATCATCAATACATAGAACACAATATCGATTAAGTTCATCCGGTTCATCGAAACTTTCAACTTTTCTTTTTCAGAGTCTCAAATACATTAAGATTTTCTAAGCCAGGTTTGATATCGATGTCTTATATTCATTACCTTAGTGTCTCTGGGTCTCTGGACGTGGAAGGCAAAATAGATTTGTCAAGAGCGTCTTGTATATTTTTAGCCCGGAAAAGTATATAGCCAAACATTTATATTTAAATTCATCAGTTATTTTTCTTCCTTTAGCTGATTTGTTAATTTGTGCAATTTGAATATTAACAAAATTTGCTACGTCCATTGATGGACATAATTTGTACGTAGCCTCTTTAGATTGTTCAATAAATATTTTATTGGGTATTTCTTTAATTATTCTTGTTTGTAACTCCTGGCATGTTTTTTAATTTTAATTGTCTATTCTCTACAGTTAAATGTTTAATTGATTTTTCATTTTTACGTTTCGAGGAGTATTAACGATTCATTTGTTTAGATAAAAGTATTGTGTAAATAAAATTCAGTTTCAGTCAATTACAGTATTTTTTTTAATACGACCCTGTCTATCAATAGTTAATTTTCCGAAGGAAATGTTTTGATACGTTTTAATCCGGCCCTGACTCGGCACCTATAATGGTGTTTTCAAGGTCAAATTTTATAGAAATTTTAAACAATGGGAACTGGGCAGAGTTAGCCTGCCGTGTGATTAATATGCCGTGCCTATAGCATTATAAATAATTGTGCTTATTAAATTACACTTACAAGAAATCTTCTAAAGATTCTGCATCCTTTATTGCGAGTGATAAATTCCAATTTAGAATGTCATTAGCAATTAGGACTCTTGTGTCCGTTATAGTGTCCATCGATAAACTTCCCCACTCAGGGGGGTACTCAATACGACCGCGGTTACTATTCGACATCTTACAGCTAATAACTTTTAGGTACTTCAGTTTTTTACAGTTTTGTATCACCTAAAAAATTAGAAATAGTTTTATAAAACGTGATAAAAATATTTTTCAATTTTAAACCAAAAGAATTTCTGACTTCCATTGCCTTATTTTTTAACTTATACAACATTTACATGTATTACTGACCGTTATCAAGTGAAGGGTCCAGGAGAAAAGGCGTCAATTTCTTAATTTTAGGGTTTTATAATATTATAGTAGGTCTAACTGGTCGCTATACAATATATGAACTCTGCAGGGCAATGTGAATCTGAAAGTCCGAAAATCTTTTAGTTTTAATACTGGATCATTCTATACAACATTCAAAGAAAAATATTTAGTTTTAAACTGTTTACCTTTATCAGGAATTCCCCATTATCAAAAATAGGTACTTCAACAGTTAACTTTTCCAAATGAACGAATTGACTTATCCACGTATAGCAATCTGCCTTAATGACGTCACGAGACAAGTGACAACTAAAACATAGTACCGCATTAAAAAAAAATTAACTAAAATCTATACTAATATATAAAATCCTTAAGTGACTGACTCACTGATTAATCACGATCCTGCTCAAACCACTCAACGTCAGAAGCTCAATTTTGGCATACAGGTTGATTCTAGGGTGTAGAGGTTCGATAAGAAGGGATTTTTCGAAATTCAAGTTCCAAGGGGGTAAAACCACCCCTCAAATATTACAATATTTTTTATTCAAGAAACGGTCAAGTTTGCGAAAAAACGCTTAAACACACGTATATTTTATTTTGTTTTTTACATATTTTAAGATTTTTTAAAAATGTATACAGGGTGTTTCGCAAAATCTGGTCATTGATTAATCACGATCCTGCTTAAAGCGCTTGACGCAAAAAGCTGATTTTTGGAAAACGGATTGACTTTAGGGTATAGAGGTTCGATAAGAAGGGTTTTTCGAAACTCGAATTCTAAGGGGGTGAAACCACCCCTCAAATATTACAAATTTTTTTATTTAAAAACCGGTGAGTTTTTCGGAAAAACTCTTAAACACGTATATTTTATTTTGTTGTTTTACATATTTTAAGATTTTTTAAAAATTTATGCAGGGTGTTAATAGCTGTTTGAAGCAACATTTATATTTTTTGATAATTGTTTTGACTACGCCTATGGTGTATAATCCTAATTAATTACGAAAAAAACGTATTAAAATGTTAACAAAAGGTACAAAACTAGTATCGACGTATAGCACATATCAAGTACATATAAATGTTAATTGGAATTGAAGAATAATTATCGAATTCAATAAGAAAACGCTAAAAAGTTGGAGTGGACTGTTTATTTACCTATAAAACGTAACTCCTGGCTCTTTCTTATTGCTGCTGCTTTTACACTTGAAAGCTGAACAACTAATCACCATTGTAATAAAGTTTATACAAAGTTTACTACGCACAAACTATTAAAAATCGCTAAAATTGTCGCTGCCCAAGCAAGACACAATGGTATATTATACGATTAAACTGATCTAATACCGTCCGTCTTATCTAGGTATACGATAAAGAATGTAAAACGTATAATAAACTGCAAAATGTCCGCGACTTCAACGTATATATTTAAGGTTTCTATATTCCTTTTATAATCGTATATACATATACCAATATTATACAAGATGGTAAACGTATATTAGCAATTTATGATATACTAGGATTACACGTAGACCAAATACGTGTATTAAATGTTATTTTTTTTTATAAATTTATACGCGAAACAGAACCGTTTATTAAATGTTATTTTTACATACACATTTATATGCATCCAGGAAATGAAATTATAGCATTATTGTTTTTCATTAATATGAAGGATTTTTGAATCAGTATAAACAAACCTTAGGTTACATAAGAAATGCTACATACTCATACTGGTGACATAAATTATACCCTATAACCGTTTTATATAACATAATAGGGAGTTTTCGTTGCTTACAAATTGCAATTCCGGTTAACGCTAATTGACAACTTTGACATTTCAATTTCAATTATCGTATATCGTAACCGCTAGCTGCCGATATTTTACGGACGTTAGCCAAAGCCGTTAACATAGCGGTACGCATGCGCACTAGCGCAGTAGAAACACAACATTGAAAATACAGATCTAACCTAACATCATTCTATTTTGTTTATGTTTTGATTATTTATTTTATCTGTGTTAAACTCGTTGGGAATTCTTAGTGCTTCAACTAATCGAGGAATGTCTTTTTTTTCAAAGCGGAAGTTAGCTTTGCACTCTTGGTCAGATAATATTTCTAGGTTGAACTCCCCATAAAGTTCTGCTCGATATTCGATGTTGTTTTCAAACCCTTCCAACAGCATAGCATCCTCCAAATCCGATTCATCACTAGAGTCCAATAAAATTAAATTGTCCATCCTATATAGCGATACCCAATAAAGTCATATAAAGCACTTTCAAATCAAACAACAATACAAAAACCAAAAATCAAAACACTACGCTACGGGCTGTGCTTAGCTTAGCGTGTCAGTTTTCGGTTATCGTATCGTATGTCGGCTCCGAACCGATGAACCGAAAGTCCGAAAACTGTTTTTTTATCTGTCAAAATAGCGGTTATGGTTACGTATCCGTTAACCGTACCGTTGAATTTTTTTAAAGCAACGAAAACTCCCTAATATTGCAATCTTTAAGTAACCTAAAATTAAAAAGTTTGTTTTTACTGCTTCAAAAATTCTTCCTATTAATAAAAACAATAATGCTAGGTGGTCAAATTACTAAATTTAATTACCTAATACATTTTTTATGGTTAATGGTAGGATTTTTAATGAATAAGTATAAAAAACTTAATTGGAAATCTTCTTTAATAACATCTTAAAAATTGGAGACATATACCGTACATTACTGAAATAAAAATAAATAAAACATATCATAATTCTTAAAATAAGAAAACTGACAATGCATAAATATAACTAAACATAAAATATAAAGAATAATATATACTGTTGCGGACCGGTGTGGACTCGACCTAACCTAACTATATGGCCCGCCCTCGGATGACCTTAACATCGCATTAAAGAATAGACACCGTAAGGATTCATTCGAAGATTCGAGAAGAATCGAGTCCCACTGGAACGGAGTAGTACATACGAGAACATTCGAAACCTTCTCTATGCACCTAACGATCTATGGACTTTTCTAGAAATCTTTAGCTGTAGGTATAAAAGCCGGCGGCTGTGGCCTATAAAGGACAGTTATAAATAGACGAGTGCAGTTGACGCGCTAAAATTCAAAAATAAATTCTTAGTTATAAATCGTTTGTAAATCTATACTAATATATAAAATCCTTAAGTGACTGACATACTGATTAATCACGATCCTGCTCAAACCACTCAACATAAGAAGCTGAATTTTGGCATACAGCTTGATTCTAGGGTGTAGAGGTTCGATAAGAAGAGATTTTTCGAAATTCCAGTTCCAAGGGGGTGAAATCACCCCTCAAATATTACAATATTTTTTATTTAAAAAACGATCAAGTTTCCGAAAAAACGCTTAAACACGTATATTTCATTTTGTTTTTTTACATATTTTAAGATTTTTTAAAAATGTATACAGGGCGTTTCGAAAAATCTGGTCATTGATTTAGCACGATCCTGCTTAAAGCTCTTGACGTAAAAAGCTGATTTTTGGAAAACAGATTGACTTTAGGGTGTAGAGGTTCGATAAGAAGGGATTTTTCGAAACTCGAATTCTAAGGGGGTGAAACTATCCCTCAAATATTAAAATATTTTTTATTTAAAAACCGGTGAGGTTTTCGGAAAAACTCTTAAACACGTATATTTTATTTTGTTGTTTTGCATATTTTAAGATTTTTTATAAATTTATACAGGGTGTTTCATAAAATATGACCATTGAGTAATCACGATTCTGCTTAAACTGCTTGACGTTTAAAGCTGAATTTTGGCAAATGGATTGACTGTGGGGTGTAGAGGTTCGATAAGGAGGGGTTTCTCGAATCTCAAATTTCAATAGGGTGAAAACGCCCCTCAAATATTACAATATTTGTTATTTAAAAAACGGTTAGTCTTTCGGGAAAACGCTTGGACATGCATAATTTATTTGTTTTTTTTTACATATTTTGAAATTTTTTAAAAAATTATACAGGGTGTTCCAAAAAGTTGGGTAATTTCTTATCCACGATTCTGCTTAAACTGCTTGACGTAAAAACCTTATTTTTGGCAAACGGATTTTTCGAAAGTCAAATTCCAACGAGATGAAACTACCCCTCAAATATTACCAAGTTATATAATAATATCGCCATATTGTTTTTTCTCATGCTGACATAAATGTGAGAAAATGTTATCCAGTTTGTATGTTAATGGAAATTCTTGCTTTGGTTTATCATCACCATTACAAATGATTAATTCGACGCGAACGAAGTCGCTGGTACACGCTAGTAGTTCTATAAGTCTTTTATCGTTATTGTTTTTGTTAATTAGTGTTAAATAAATAGTGTTTAAATAAATTGTGACTTTCCATCCACACGGAACCGACGAAAAACGTAAGAAATTGGTGTCAAGTGTGGCGTGTGTGATAGACTAGAAAAATAAAAAGACTGAAAATGGTTTCGAAAAAATTGTTGAAAGACTTGAAAGTGTCGGAATTAAAATGCATATTGGAAGAGAGGGAGTGCGAGACAGATGGAAAGAAAAGCATTTTGCAAGCCAGACTGAGAGAGGTTTTGATTGAGGAAGGTGAGGATCCTGACACATTTTGCTTTGAGCTGGAAGGTGACCTTTTGACTCGTCATTGAAAAATTTGCAAGACAATTTAAACGACAATTTGAATAGTAAGATAATTAATTTAGAAGATAAAATTATGGAAAATTCCCTGGATTTGCAAGAAACTTTGAATGATAAAATGACGGAAAATTCCCAAAAATTAGAAGATAAAATCATAGAAAATTCTAAAGATATACAGGCCAGCTTTAATAATAAAATACTTAATTTAGAAGAAAGTTTATATAACAAGATAATAGAAAATTCCAGGGAATTAGAAGAAAAGATTATAGAGAATTCCACGGAGCTACAAGACAAAATAACACAAATTGAGGACGATGTAAACAGAAAAATCGAGATTTTGAGAAAAGAAATGGGAAAGGCAAATTCACCAAAATGTCAAGAAACATCGGAGTCACCGAAACTAGTCGAAAATAAGTATATCTCAAAGTCAGTTATTAAGCCTCCACACTTTGACGGAAAAACCGCTTGGGCCAATTATTTTTGCCAGTTTAAGGCCGCTGCGAGAGCGAACGGATGGACAATCGCTGAAAAGGCTACCGCTTTGACAGTCGCACTGCGAGGAGATGCGACTGATATCCTGCAGACACTGTCACCATCGGAACAGGGAGATTATCAGCAATTGGTACGAAATTTAGAAATGAGGTACGGCCAAGCTCATTTGGAACATGTCTATCATTCCCAGCTAAAAAATCGCATTCAAA